GACCCCTGTTTTCGAGGCCCGAAAGCAGGCCTCCCCAAAACCCTGCGGTGGGGACGGCCAAATTTGACCACTTTTGGGCTTTCCTAACCCCCACACCCCCTTAGTACAGATCAGCAACGCTTGACCTGGACGAAGGCTGGAGGAAGCTTTCGTAACAAGGTGACTCATGAGTATATACACCCAGCCTGCAATATGCACCCAACAACAGGCGAACTTGAAATGGAAGCTCGCTGGAAGTTTCTGTGACTACCGATGTCTTTATCATCCGGGTGGCAGCACCAGCCAGAGCCAGCCAAATATTTCGGAACTCCTTCCATTTATTTCAGGGGAAAGTGTTGAAGTTGGATAACCTTGGTGCTACTACTAGCTTCACATGGATGTTTTCAAGGGGTAGGTAGAAGCAAACTTCAGTAGGATTACAAGTTGCAGCGTCCAAGTTTGAAACCTTCAGAATTTCCAGGTGGGACGCTATCTTGCAAGGGCTTCCACAGGCTTCAGCGAGTGAGCTTCCAAGTGAGGCAGAAGGGCTCTGACACACTGTAGGATTTTTGCATTCATAATCTCTTGACAGGATGCCGCAGATATTCGTGCACCAACTTTCTAGAAGAGCCTCTTTTTGATTTAATGATTCCCCTCTTATATTAAAATCCCCTGACATGAATTCAGCCCGCGAATTGTTTAACATTACAGGGGGGGAAGTCGCTTCAGGGAAGCAATTACCAGAACCCAGAAAAAAACACACACACACACACACACACTAGCTCATGCAAGCCAGCGCCTTTGAAGCCATGATTCAGAAAGGGTTTTCTGATGAAGGTAGAAAAAATCTCCTGAAGCCTGCTCCTGCCAAGACAACGTAATGTCCCAAGCATTGTATGATGCAGGCTTCGGCTCCCCGTAGCATTATCCCCAGACAAACCCAAAATTGAATCTTGCCTGCCTGAATTACCTGAAGAAAAATGGCATGGGAAGTTTTCTTCAATCCAGAGGATGGTGTCTGCATATTATGGCGCAGAGATAAAGGAGGATGTTAGAGCGCCCGTCATGCTTTGGGGTGTAGGCACCAGGCATCTGGAGTCTGGCACCGGTCTTCATGTTCAGTAGAGTTTAGGGTTCAAGGTCTGGTCTAGTATCTAAAATCACTACTCAGAATTGCTGAAGGCAACCATTCTGGACCTTTGGCAGGCTCCCTCTCAATAGCACCTCCAACCAGAAGAACTTGTCTGTCAAGCCCTGTACTCCTACCGCAGGAATTCTCAAACTTTGGGATCCCTCAAGAAAAAGCACTGGCAACCCTTCAGTCTTCAACTTCACGCACAGGATCAACTGTTCTTGGGACTCTAATTTCAGGTTCAAGGGAGCTCTATCACAACCTATCTATTGAACCTATTTCGGGAAGCCTTTGTGAAGAGGCCCAGCCAAATTGCATGCCGGACGAAGGTAGGACACAAAATAGTTCGGGGGTCTCCTTGTAGACACAAAGGCTCCACAGAAGGATGCACAGCATGCACAGGAGGGTGCCAGGTCCAAAATCCGTCTGCACCAGCTGGTCTGTGCTTAGCCTCAAGGCTGGGCTCTCGGTGCACGGGACCTGGGGTTTAGGGCTGTGGGATGCTGCGCGTGTAGGATTCAAAGCTCAGGCTCTACAGCCTGATCCCTGCAAGAACCCTAATACCTAAAACCTACTGAGCAGGAAGCAGGTTTAATAACTTCTCGCCTCAGGTACATGTTGATCTGCTCCACCAACGACGCCTGTGATCTTCAAACGCTTTCGGCCCAAAGCTCCCAAAAGGGCTTGAAATTCGGAAGATGCTTCCCATCTTCGAAAATTTGCGTCCAGGGAAAACTACAGAAGAAAGCATTCCAAGTTTAACCGCCTACAAGGTAGGTGCCTTTGGAGGCATCCAATCTTCACATCTGCAAGAATAAGGGATGTAGGTGTTGGGCACCTTGGCATGAAGGTGAACCCCGACTACCCATGTTTGAATCCCAATACCCTCCAGACCCATCCACCGCTTCATGCAAGCAGAAAATGTGTTTTTCTCCTCTGAAGGCTTAATCTTCAACTGTCAGCTTCTGCTCCCCACTCCAGGTTTCAAACTCGCTGTCTAGCATGTTAATCTGAAACTGCCAAGTACGCTTCCAGATTCCTTTGGCATCCTTGCAACAAGAAGTATGTCACCACTGCAACTTCTGCATGACCGGATGAGTCGGCCTGGGTCGTAGAAAGGATGAGCGCTCCATCCCCACTACAGACCCGCGTCACCAGGCTAGTTTCTGCTAGGTCCATGTACCTGGTGCAAGTCTTTCTGTGAGGCTTTATAGCTTCATGCGTGAGAGCTAGGGTTTTCCACTGTAAGAGTTTAGGGCAAGGTCCCAGGGTTTGCTTCGGGTGCTGTGCAAAACAATTGCCTTTGACGGTGTGAGCATCACAGAAGCATGTACAGCTTTCCTTTAATACTGACTTGGGTGTTCACAAGGACAGCTTCCACTCCATTCAAGGGTTTGCGGTACATGTTTGACTTCATTGGCTGAGCCCGAACTCCAACACTGAAGCAATTATGAAACTCAAGGCTGGGTGCTGATGGATGAGGACAAGGTCCACTAGAAGTCGTCCTCTTAGTACAGCGTGCCAACGACAAATGTTACAGACTGCGAAACAAAACGTCAGGTATGGCCTGAAATTTTGGGCGGCCATACTATAACACTGTCGCTGCGTAACTGTGACGCGCAAGACGGCGAGGCCCAACGAGGAGAAATAAAGACCGAGCCCTGCCAGGACACATACTAAACGCTTATATTTCTGAACCAGACATCCGTGACCTTCATACCACAATCCAAACCGCGCCAAGACCCCTGAATCAACATTCAGGATTTCAATTCCACTCGGCCATGGTGCTTGTAGTCATGTGCCACACTGGTCCGCCAGATTTGGGCATTAATCTTCTGTTTATCAAACTCCTCGCGTGCGGATGCTCTGGCTCGAGCTAGCAAGTTCTTAGCAGAATCAGGACTACTTGCAACGACTCATGATAGTAAGGTGATAACTATGATGCTTACGACAAGGCTGATGATGATGATGATGATGATGGCGATGATGTCGTCCAGAGAGAAGATCAGCACCATCTAGAAAGACCACCAAAATAACAGCAAACAATGATGACAGCAGTGATATACAAGACAAAGCTGGCAACAGACAAGCAATAGCCACGCCAGCAGCAGCAGCAGCAGCACCACCACCACCACCAGCCGTACTAGCAGCATGTGAATGCAAAGCTCAAGTCCATTGCTTCGTGGCTGAAAGAACACCTCATGAAAGCTGTTGCTCCTGTGAATAAATTGCCTGATTAGAGTTGAAGGAGTGCTGGAGGTTGGATTCAGGTCTTGGATCGGGTATAACAGAAGACCTTCAACCAAAAGGCCTTGGCCACTCGCACTGCATGCAGTCTGCATGCTGTCAACCTCTGTAACATACAGCAAAAAAAAAAGGCTCAACACGCAAACTCCAAGGCCTACCCCACACGCCTCACATAAGAGCCATCAAGAGAATGTGGGACCTGTCCAAACCGGTCATCCAGGCTGTGCATGAAAGACATGCGGATTTGTAAACCCCAAGGCCTAGAACACCTAAACCCAAAGGTTTGCACCCAACAGTCCAACCCAATTCTCAACAACGAGAAGAATTTATCGGAAACTAGCGCTCGAGATCTTCAAACGGCAAAAATCAACTACACATTTCACTCGGCGCTCATAGTTCGGGCTAACTGCTCAGGGATTCTTCGGGTCTAGCATTCCTTTAGGGCATCTTTGCTTGATCCTGCGTTCTTCAATCTCCCTATCATTCAGCAAGGCCCCAATTCTGCATGGTCCTCACCCATGAAGCCATCATCCAGCAGAATCAAAGCAAACATGATCTGCATCACCTAGGCTGTCAGTCTTTAAGATCTTCAGGTGCAAGGTTCAAGCTCCAAATGCTCAAGCCTGAGCCCGGAAATTGAAACCTTGAGACCAAGATCGAAGCTTCTGCAGGACCAGATTTAGATGTTGAGATCCTCAAAGCCGTGGTGACGATTGCCATGTTACTTTTGGGGCTTGGCGTCTCAGAATCTGCGGGCCCGCCATCCTTCAGCAGATTGAAGGAGAGTTGAACCTAAATTATCTGTGCTGCTTCTTCTGAAGGCGTGGAAACCATCACTGACATAAAATCACTGGATGCTCAACTGTTCTGAGAACGTTAATGCTGTTCACAGAAGATTCCATAAGCTTCAATATGCATCTGCGAGCCCCCTCCCTGACAGCTCTTTCAGAGTCCAAGAGCAGGCAAGTAGCCAAAAGACCCCAGCACTTCTCTTCAACAGCCCATGCTTTGAACTTGCAATCCTTACTTTGGAGCCTGGCATGTTGCCCCACATGCTGCCGACGCTGGCAAGCTAACCCTAAACTTTAGCACCATGCCTCCAACTTCGGATCTATGAAGCACGAGGCCAAACAACGGAGGTGTCAATTATTTCGACCGATGGAACACGAATGAAGAGTCCAATTACACACCAAATTGTAGAATATGCAATGCTGCATACAGAATACTGCACCTGTCACAACTCCAATCCCAAACGCGAACCCATGAACCCAAAACCTGAACCCCTACTCTAAACCCCTTCACTACATCATGACTGAGCAGGGCGCGCAGTTCACCAGAAGAAGCGCGACTGCATACACTGTATCGAAGCGTCCAGCACGGACGAGCCCGAGCACCATGGGAATACTCCAAGCGGACTCCTGGCATCAAGCTTAGGGGGATCTACAACAAAGCTTGAAAAGCAATCGAAACCCTGACAAGTATATAGTTAATAGGCACATGAGCATCATATCTGAAATTATAGCTGTGATCAGAGCTGCCACTGTAGACGAAATACCGACATAAGAAGGCATGGTAAACCGCTACCGATCTACAGAAGGCTTTCGATACGGATCCTCTCCACACGTTCTCTAAAAACTGTGGAAGTGCTGTCGGAGCCTGCTTTACAAAATCCCTCGCAGCATCATGCCAGAAAAAGATCCCGTGCAAACCTGTCCGTATGAGGTCGAGCACAGGATCAGCCTTCATCGACTAAACAGGTTGGATTGGGTGAGACCATCCACATCCCCAGCCCAAATCTTCAATCCATAATATTTTCGGCCAGCGCCTGACCCTAAAATCCAAATTAGATTAACGAAGAACTGTTGATAATAAACCATATCCAGCAGTACGTGCTGCAGGTCCCTGAACCATCAGTCTATGCCTCGAAGTGCACGAATATCTCCTCGGTGTCGTCGTCTACCTGCACCTGGCATTAATAGAAATAAATACGTAAGCTTTTGGTGTGGTAGGTTTGTCTCGTGAACTTCCTGTTTTCCTGCAACCCCCTGTATGAGAGCTCCTCCGGAAACTGGCCTAGGATGTGAAAATCTAATGAGATCCTGGAACAGGTCTTGGACCTGGGGCTTCAAACCCAGAACACGGTACTGGTCCCAACTATCTGATCTGAGCATTGCCCTGGCCATTCCTCCACCCCCCACACAACAGTCAAGTTTGCCGCCCAAGTCCATGTGACAAGAGCGCGAATGGCATCACCTATCCACTGCCGAGGGCCGAAGGATTTATCTTTAGGCCTTCAGGGCTTCCGCACGTCTGCTGAGGTGGACTTGCTTCTCAGGTCCAAAGGCATTGGTTATCCGTGGCCTTCACTGTAGTTGGGTGGAATGATACATGCGAACAGTCCTGAGGTGTTCAAATAGCTTGTCTGCACGCTCCTGCCAGAACGGTCAAGCTTGATAGCTGCTGGTGCAAAATCCCGTGCCCGAGAAACCGAAGCCCCCCATCAGCGCTTGCGCCGTTGTCACACTTAAAGCACGCCATGGAATCACGACAACCTGCAAGATGTTGTGTGCTGATGGGAGATGTATCGAAGCTTAGCTTGATACTTCCATCGCGATGGCTAGTCCCGAGTCTTGACCTACAAGATATTGTATCGTTTCCGGGGCATCTTCATCATCCTCGAGGTGGCTTCCTGAGTCGACATTCGCGCAAACCATTCCACTTGCATGCAGCATCCACCATAAATGTCACAACTCAAGTCTCACGGCCGTACAAGATTCTCTTGCAATCCTGGCCCCATAGTTCAACGACATTGCTAAAGTACTGGTAGCCTGGTAGTGCAGCTTTCTACAGCTGCAGCTCTACCAGGTGATTATCTACCAAACAAAATGTTTCATTGCTGCGCTCAAGATGGTCACCACCCTGGCACCGATGGCCACGATCATATTGGCTATTGCCAGAAAGAAATTCAAACGATTATGGACGTGTAGTTAGGGACGATCCAATCCAAACCGCGGGCGCTCACAGTAATTACAGCCCCTCGCACCCGGCGCAAGACTCATGTCCGTCCGCCACGGGCATGCTGGCCACCACTTCTGCGACCCGGACTCCACAATCCAAATTTCACCGGCGGCAGAAAGAAACGAAAAGCCAGCCAAACGACACGCGGACACCGCAGCAACAAAACCAATCTGCCGCATGACCTCACTGTGCACCGACTCCGCAATGCACAGACACCCTCCAGCGCCATGCCAAAGATACTGGACAGCTTCGCGCGAAACACACAATTTGTGTCCCAATCCATCCTCAGACTGCCTGCAACAAGGTCACTCAGACCCGAGCACACCACGCTCAGGCGCGCAAGAGCAGTGGCAGCAGCAGTACAAACGGTGATGACCAGAAACATCAATCTTTTGACGCCGCATGCGGATTATAACCTCAATTCAAAAAATTGGGCGCCTCCTCGACCTCAATGCTCGTCTCGGTGACGGCCACTGAGTTGCTTGTGAAGTTAGAGTAGTTGCCTCGAGAGCTCTTGGTTTTGCATCCAATCGGTTTGGAGCTGGGACCTTTAGGAGTTGAAGCGTGGACTGTGAAGCGCAGTTTAGCATTAGGAGTTTTTAAGTGGGCGCGGGACTGAAGGTCCAAGGCGCGTGGCTCGCGCGCAGAAGAAAGATGCTGGCCGGAGCCCAGAATGTCGTACCCACGTTTGAGTATTGATGGGAGCTCACTTCGATGCCAACTTTCGGGGGCTCGAAATCCCGTGAGACAGTACTGCGCTTTCACTTACAGCCCTTAGGAAGCATAGGCCTATCTCTGCCCTGCCAAACCCCTCCGGGTGGCAAACTGGAATAGAAAGAAGCTTCAACTTCAAGTTTTGACAAGAAGCGCGTATAAGACATCCCAAGGCGCCCCATTTGATGTACTGTCGTTTTGAAGACGAAATGTCCACGTGAGGGTAGGTAGGAGGACCCAGTGTCCGGTGTAGCACCTTTCGCTTGTGGGGCTGATCCTTTTCCTCGTCCCCTATGGGCAGCTGAAGATCCTCGACGGCCAGTTTGTGCGCTGGGTGCTAAAGGTCCAAGCTAGGGATTTCCCTCAACAAATAGACCTTCCATGAGGCCTTTCATGGCATTAGTGACTAGGAGGGCATAAGTCCCCTTGTCCTCTGGTTTCTGCTATTTTGGGTTTCAAAGCACGCTATCCGCTATCATGGTCACCTACATCCCAAAATACATGATTCTCATTGTGGCAACGATCAAAGACTGGCGGCCGAAACTCCCCAAATGTGGAATTGATGGCCCAAGTCTCTACATGGCAAACCTTCCAATCCTAAACAGGCTTCAGGCTCCCTCAAAAACAATGGATCCCGAAAAAAACTTTCAAGCTCAGCAGCTATGTTTGTTGGAGTTCGGCTCCCCATCAGATGCTGACTTCCAGATAGATTGATTGCTCCGGCGCTCCACGCGCTCGCTGCTCCGACGTTCGCTCCCTTGGCAAGGGTTGGCGTGCGCGCTTCTGAATTCCAGTTAGAGTGCGGGCTTCATGTCCGGGGCTTGGGGATGCGGCCTCGCCAACTTGCCAACATAATTTTGAGGCCATCCTATGAATGCTGGAACTGCTCGACTGGAACCCGGCCCTTTGCCCTTTCGATAACCTTGCACCCCATGTCTCAGACCGGCCCATTGCAGCTCCTTCAAACTGCGGGATTTCGAAAGCAACCTTCAGCCACCAATATGAAGCTCCTATTGGGAACTCCCCCCGAAGACCCAACTGCAAATCCGACAACATTGCCTCATATACCTGCTTGCTGGCAACTGTTGACCCATCATCTCTGCACGTAGAATCCAGAAAAGAGATACCCAAACTTTGAATAGGGCACACGGTTTAAGGCTTAGGCTGTGAAACCCTTTAGCCTAAAACCTTCAGGGGTGTAGGGTCCCAGAACCCTTAGGCCGTCCTATCATCCAAGTGGCCACTCCCCACGTGCCGTAGCTCAACTGCCGTAAGGCGAGCTGCCATGCTCTGCATGTCTCCTGAGCTTCTTGGGCGTTGAGTTTGAGGTTCAAGTGTTGAGGACTTTAGGGCTCTCAGGGTTGAGAGGCTGAGGCTTTGGGGTTTCAAGTTTGGGGGCTTTCAAGTGCAGATCCCTTTGGACGTTTTGTTCGTGGAGGTAGGGCGTACTTGCTTGAGGAGGGCCCTCCTGGCTTTGGGTGCCTTTGGGGTATACATTACAGAGTCTTCAGTACTGGTAGAAGGCGGATAATGTTAGCATGGCATTAATAAATGGGGTGACAATAGCATTTTGTTGCTGGGCCGGAAAAATCCCGGACAATCAAATTTGTTTTCTAACAAGTTTGGAGCCCGACAAGATCTACTTAAGGTCCATCGGCAATCATAAAGGGGTGGCAGTACTGTTATTGTCCGGCCGGAAATGTCCCGACTCTAATAGATTCCCTTCTACTTGTCCTACTACTATTACGAGCTGCACTACCTGGTCCTACCCATGTCCCCGTCAGTTATTATTGCGACCCCCCCTTCCGCAAGCCCAAGTGGGAAAACAAGTTCTGGGGGGGAGGGGGGGCGTATTAATGTCATGGTAACATTAGACAGGCTGAGTCCAAGGAAAAGAATATCGAGCAAATGACTGGCGGTGCACTTCCATGGAATGCTTTGCAGATTCCTCTAGGACTCAAAACGCCGGACCCTGCATGCCGCGCAGGAGAAGCATGCCCCCGAAACCTCGGACCATCCGCACCCCAGATTTCTTAGGGCTAGGCTCAACCCAAATCGCCGGGCACAGACGTCCAGCAGAGAACCTGACCCCAAGCCCTGAAACAAAACCGCGACCTCCAGATCTGAAGGACTGCATAAACTGCATGAAAACAGGTTGCCCTGGATCTGCTCCCGAAGCCTCGGAACAAAGAGCTTGAAAGAGGGGGGCTCATTCGTTCATGCCTGAAAACCGGTGATAGCGGTAGCGAATGGACAGAAGTCTTGAAAGAGGGCTTTTCTCCGTTACAGCTTAGGATTCAAATCTTCGGGGCAGAAGATACGTACTGCCAACTATGAAAACATCTTCACTCCAGGGGTCACATGTAGCTGTAGAGCATGCTGATCTGGCAGCTACACACCGCACACGAACATAGACAGCGCAGCATAAGAAAGAAGAGGCTGAAGCTAAGATGTTCGGTGGGTCTGGGGTGGCTTCGGGTGCCCACAAGGTTTGAGGATGTCGGTGTTCAAGGCTCAGGATTGCAGCTGGAGGCCTCCCAAGTTCGCCGCCAGCAACGTTAGAAACCAACACGATGATAGCTCATAAACCCAAGTTTTCGTACAGCTGAATTAGCTTTCGACATGCAAATGGATGTCTGCGGCCATTGTGGGTGTCGGCGCAGCA